GATGTCCCAATATTTCTGGACCTGACTGTATGAGACTCCAGGTGGTCTCTTCCAGTAACGCCACTCCTCTGGAAATGACATCTAATACATGTTACTTAGAATCGATTAATGCCTAAGAGCCACAAAATCTGACGGTAGCTCAGTGATGATTATGTCTCTCCCACCTTCCCACCCAACCAGGGCTACCTTCCAGTGTTGGAAGTAGGAACCTTCTTAAAAGCAGGTGTTCAGGCCTGGATGGACTTCTTGGCTTCATCCATTGTCCTACGCTCGCATCGTGAGAGCACCTGACTTCCATGGCATCAAAAGTGGCATCCAGGGAGGCTCACCAGGGACAGGCTACATCTAATGATGGAGCTACTGCTGGCACCTTATAGGACTCTACCTTGCACTGCTGAAGCTTTAGTGCCCAGCTCAGCTTTCCAGGACAGTCCCCAAATCCTCAGTGAATTTGATCAATTCATCTGGTGTCTGCCTTCCAAGTAAATTGAGATTTTTAAAATATGAACGATTTTTAATACAAGGGCTTAGTAAACTGCTCCTCTTTTATATAAGACAATGTCTCTTTTTCAGGATTCTTATCTTCACTCACGAGCAAGGTTATGGACATCATTGATCAATTGGTTAAAAATTGATACAGGTAGTCCTCGCTTAACAACCACAATAGGGACTGGAAAATTGGTTGTTAAGGGGTGGTCGTTAAGTGAGTCACCAGACCCAATTTTATGACCATGTTGTTAAGCAAATCCAGCTTCCCCAATGGACATTTTTACCAGAATTCACTTAACAACCACGCGATTCGCATAATGATCACGGTGATTCGCTTAACGACCATCATAAAAAGGTTGCAAATTGCGATCACATGACTGCAGGGTGCGATGGTTTGCAATGGTCGTAAGTGCGAGTACAGGTTGTAAATAACTTTTTATGAGGTTGTTGTAACTTCAAGCTGTCATTAAACAAATGGTTATTAAGCAAGGACTATCTGTAGACCCGTTCAAAACCACATGAGTGGATTGAGATTTCTTTTAGCCAGGGACACCTCAGCTACCTACCTATACAGCCTTCTTCATCTACAAACGTTCTGGACTTCAACACACGCTTCCGCTTGTGTTTCTTCTCTCCCATGGAAGCCTGAAAGACGACAGTACAAAGGAAGAGAATGTTGAGTCCCTGCCACATTTAACAAGCACAATTGTTGGTCACTGACAATGTGGGCCTTTCAACTATATTAGAATGCAGCAAATATTGTATTTCACAAAAGTGGGGTAACTGTGCCTCATGTACTAGTCTTCTCACAAGGA